GTTATAGGAAAAGAAGAAAAGAAAAGGTGGAAGAAGAATAAGTCACTATATACAGCATTTAGCAATCTTTGTGTTGATTAAACCCTAACAAATAAGAAAATAATAAAAAGAAATTAGTATATAAACACACAAAATGAACATTATAGTTTAAAAATGTCTATTTTATAATTATAACCTCACAAAATTAAGAATATAGAGGTTTTTTATAGCACGCTATAGAAAACTTGGCGATTAGGTGAGGCGCCTCCAAGGGCGCCTTGCCGCTTAGGCGTCGCTTTGACAACTATGCCCTTTCTGATATTTAGTTATAAACAAGGTTCAAAATATTGGCCGATACGTATCCTTCCGGGACCCCTCCGATACACCCCTACAGTGGGTGTATCGGGGGTCTGACCAGTTTAGGGGGTGGAGGAGCTCTAAACTAGCCCCCCTGAACCGGTTTTGAAAAAGAAAAAAGCAAAAAAATAAAGGTATCGATTCACCCAATATGCCCCTACCGGCGTATCAGGCATATCGATATTTTGAACCTTGGTTATAAATATTATTTTATGATGGTTTGTTTAATATTAAGGTAATAGTTTACAATTTAAAAGATTTTGGAGGACTGAGGAATATGTAGAGATATATCCCAGTTATATTTTGTGCCAATACTTGGAAATGTTGGAAAATATTTAGAAAAAAAATAATCTTATAAAAATTATTTAGAAAATTTACTAGAGCTCTGAAAACAAAATAAAATAAACCAAAAAAACAAGAAAAAGCAGAAGAAAATAAGAGTTGAATGATGGCTCAAGGGATTGAGTAGGAAGTGCTGGTGGTTATTGATTATGATTTTGACCAATTTGCCTATCTTTTCAATTTGGAAAGATTACGATTTGAAAGTTGTGGATGGAATTTTGCCAATGATTCATGTCTCTTGCAAGGGCATGAATGTTCCCATTTACCTTTAAGAATGCTTCCAGTATGGGGATCAAGGTTTTAAAAACATCATTGATCCAGGCAATCGAACTGTTTTGACCCAAGAACCAGTCACACTACCGGTTCTGTTTATCACCGGTCTGTTTTTTCAAAAAAAAAATGTTGATTTGGTTAAAAAACTACTAACTCGATGGTCGAACAATTGAACCATTTGGCCCAGGGCAGCAGTTTGTGGGTTGACTTATTAACTTTAATAATTTTTGATTTATTTGAAAAACTGGCATTATTGTCATATCTCATCAAATCATTTATATATAATTTTGTTTTGTTCAAAATTGTAAATGATGACAATATTGTCATATCTCAACAAACCTCTATTATTTTGTAATATTTTTTGTTTTGGTATTTCAAAATAAATCTGTTACACCTCTCTCTCTCTCAATCCTAACCCTTATGTTTTCAAACATTTTATATTTCATTTTGTTAAAGTGAGCCGAATAGGGGTAGTTTAGTCATCTTATGTTTGTTAAGTGGTTTGCTTATGTGGCAGTTTTATTAGAGACACTCTGCCCCACA